CAGGTTTGCGTCATATTCTGAGTTTGCATTTCACTGTTTTAATTCATTTTGATTAATACTAAATCTGTTTTTTGTGTTCATTCACATTTAGTCTAGAACTACAGTAACGTCATGTTCACACAGCGCACATAACTCTGCACTTCCGATTTCTCCCAATATGGGGACAGGAGAGCTGTCAGTCAATAAATGGGAAAACAATGCAAGCCTGAGAATGCACGTCTGAGAGTGCAAGCGCCAGCTGCAGCCAGACCCTTCTCATTAGGTTTGTTTCTGAAGGGAATGTGCCCCCGATCTACATAAATGCGTCTATCTTAGCGCAAATCATTCGTGATCCAGCTTCACGTCCAGAAGAAGCGAGTGTAAGGTTTTTTTAATGAATCTTTGCAAATCGCCTTTCCTAATAATGTGCTAATTAGCAAGTTTCACCATGAATGCGGCTAAAGTGAACAGTCTCTCTGAGAGCAGCTCGGAAGAGAGGGGCGGGGCCAGCAGAGCTCATTAACATTTAAAGGAAAATGCTACAAAAATGGCTTGATCTGAAAAGAGCTGTTTTTGACCGGGTAAAAAAGGTGTTTTTTACACTACCATTGAGAAATTTTAACCAAACTATGTTACAGACTTTTCATTAAGACCCTAAAGAATCATATCAACTTGTGGAAAATGGGCATCCGATGACTCCTTTAATATTACTTGATTTTAATTTGGTATCCATCTGTTTTCAGGGGCTTTTTCCCAGTAGCGGTTGGCTTCATTAGGCGGGTGCCTATTCTTGGATCTTTACTGAATCTTCCTGGTATCAGTGGGGTAAGTTAACCACAGTTTGCTGACTATTTTGTCAATAGCTTGGTATTTTTTGCTTGCGTAAGTGACACTTAAGAGTGCTGTCACATGACTACAATAATGTTGTTCTGTTCCTCTTTTAGTTAGTGGATAAAGTCGGCGAGAGCAACACTATGGTATAACGGTCAACAGTTTAGTACTTTCTTTTAGTTTTCTATGAGTGGCTCATATTTATATTTGTCATAATAGTGCTTCTGGTTCGGCGTCTTGCTGGACAACATTTCTGAACGACAGATGAGATTTTTGATACTTTACCTGTGAAGAAGTTCAGGTGTTTTTTTCTGGGACTGATTACCAAACCAAGTCAGGCGCTGTTTTTGTTACTGCATCACACGTCTCCCTCCGGGGGGCGACAGGGACCACTGAACCCTAAATGACCACAAGATGGGCGGACGATGACGTTACATTGAATGAACCACAACTGAAAGGAACCACTGGGCTCTGAACAAAGTCGTTACTGTTTTTTTATTGCGCTTTTATGTGCCAACCGTTGTGTTTTGCTCTCTTTTTATTCGTCAAAATCTAATTAGGACTTTTTCCACATGAGCTCCACCTAGAGGAGCGGAGACTTTCATCTCTTCGTGCTCGCGAGGAAAATTCAGCAACCTGTGAGCCATGCTGTTATAATACATGACTGACTTGTTTAAGTATTTGTAAATACTTCAAATGTGAGACTAATGTAAATTTTTACAGACAAAGATCCTGTTTAATAAATGGATTATATCCTTTACGGTCATTTAAAGTCTTATATAAGCGCTCAGTGCAAATATTACACAACAATTTTATATATTGCTAGCATGTGGTTTATACTTTGCACTTTCATTCAACATTTAGTGAGTACATTGACTAGTTCCTGTAACCAACAGTCAGTTGGAAGTGTAACAGTGTCAATCAAACGTTTGGACGCAGCTTCTTTATAAAGTTCTTGTTTATTTATCATAAACACAAATTATACATTTCTTTGTCTAGATTCCAACTATGACCATTCTGGACTTTCATGAGGTGCACCATGGGATTCCTAATAATGTGCTAATTAGCAAGTTTCACGATGAATGCGGCTAAAGTAAACAGTCTCTCTGAGAGCAGCTCAGAGTCAGCAGAGCTCATTAACATTTAAAGGGATATGCACCAAAAACGTCTTGATCTGAAAAGAGCTGTTTTTGACCGGGTAAAAAAGGGGTTTTTTACACTACCATTGAGAAATTTTAACCAAACTATGTTACAGACTTTTCATTAAGACCCTAAAGAATCATATCAACTTGTGGAAAATGGGCATCCGATGACTCCTTTAATATTACTTGATTTTAATTTGGTATCCATCTGTTTTCAGGGGCTTTTTCCCAGTAGCGGTTGGCTTCATTAGGCGGGTGCCTATTCTTGGATCTTTACTGAATCTTCCTGGTATCAGTGGGGTAAGTTAACCACAGTTTGCTGACTATTTTGTCAATAGCTTGGTATTTTTTGCTTGCGTAAGTGACACTTAAGAGTGCTGTCACATGACTACAATAATGTTGTTCTGTTCCTCTTTTAGTTAGTGGATAAAGTCGGCGAGAGCAACACTATGGTATAACGGTCAACAGTTTAGTACTTTCTTTTAGTTTTCTATGAGTGGCTCATATTTATATTTGTCATAATAGTGCTTCTGGTTCGGCGTCTTGCTGGACAACATTTCTGAACGACAGATGAGATTTTTGATACTTTACCTGTGAAGAAGTTCAGGTGTTTTTTTCTGGGACTGATTACCAAACCAAGTCAGGCGCTGTTTTTGTTACTGCATCACACGTCTCCCTCCGGGGGGCGACAGGGACCACTGAACCCTAAATGACCACAAGATGGGCGGACGATGACGTTACATTGAATGAACCACAACTGAAAGGAACCACTGGGCTCTGAACAAAGTCGTTACTGTTTTTTTATTGCGCTTTTATGTGCCAACCGTTGTGTTTTGCTCTCTTTTTATTCGTCAAAATCTAATTAGGACTTTTTCCACATGAGCTCCACCTAGAGGAGCGGAGACTTTCATCTCTTCGTGCTCGCGAGGAAAATTCAGCAACCTGTGAGCCATGCTGTTATAATACATGACTGACTTGTTTAAGTATTTGTAAATACTTCAAATGTGAGACTAATGTAAATTTTTACAGACAAAGATCCTGTTTAATAAATGGATTATATCCTTTACGGTCATTTAAAGTCTTATATAAGCGCTCAGTGCAAATATTACACAACAATTTTATATATTGCTAGCATGTGGTTTATACTTTGCACTTTCATTCAACATTTAGTGAGTACATTGACTAGTTCCTGTAACCAACAGTCAGTTGGAAGTGTAACAGTGTCAATCAAACGTTTGGACGCAGCTTCTTTATAAAGTTCTTGTTTATTTATCATAAACACAAATTATACATTTCTTTGTCTAGATTCCAACTATGACCATTCTGGACTTTCATGAGGTGCACCATGGGATGCTTTAAAACACTTGAACATGTAATATATATATATAAGTGCAATACTTGATGATGCTTTTCCTTACCAATCTGCTCCAATGCTTTTATTTTTTTAATAAAAAAATGTTCGTTTTGCAAGATAATTTATATGTTGGCACAATTTCTATTTTTTGATCGAAAGGTCAAATCACACATCATTTCGTTCAAGTGTGTCCAAATCTTTGATTTTCTATTGTATAATATTTGCTATATTTCACCATCAGACACCAAGATCTGTTTTCACACAAAGTGCTAATTTGACAATCATGGGTCTCTATAATTATTTTAAAGAAACCGTTCAGCCAAAAGTGAAAATTTTCTGAACATGTGCTCACTCTCAGGACATCTAAGATGAGTTTGTTTCTTCATCAGATTTGGAGAAATGCAGCATTGCATCACTTGCTCACCAGTGGATCCTCTGCAGTGAATGGGTGCCGTCAGAATGAGAGTCCAAACAGCTGATAAAAACATCACAATAATCAACACCACTCCAGTCAATCAGTTAATGTCTTATAAAGCCAAAAGCTGCATGTTTGTAAGAAACAAATCCATCATTAAGACTTATAATCGCCGGATTACTTGTGGATTATTGTGATGTTTTTATCAGCTGTTTAGACTCTCATTCTGACGGCACCCATTCACTGCAAAGGATCCATTGCTGAGCAAGTGATGCAATGCTACATTTCTCCAAATCTGATGAAGAAACAAACTCATCTACATCTTGGATGGCCTGAGGGTGAGAACATTCTCAGCAAATTTCATTTTTGAGTGAACTATTCCTGTACGTACATAAATTTAGACCCATAAATCATTTGAAAGATGATTTCAAGAACATAACACTACTAGGATATAAAAAAAAAAAAATAAGTGAACCGTTCATGGATGTCTTGCCGAAGCAGCAATCACACATTCGAAGCGGTGACATTCGAAGTTAGCGGTACAGGTCTTTCAGGTCTTTCTGGATGTGCCACAGCATGTCTGCGCTCTTCTTCAGCTGCGAAATCTCGTTGCTGGTCAGGCTCATGTTGACCACGCTGCCCACTCCAGCGCTGTTCAACACGCACGGCAGGCTCAGGTACACCTCGTCACCGATGCCATACATACCCTGAAACACATGCAGTGCATTCGCATTCTCACCTTCATGCAGGGTTGTAAATGTGAAGTATGAATTGTGTTGCGTTTCAAGATTGTGTCACTCTTTAAGTATTACTGAAAAACCTATTACTGCTATTTAAAGGGATAGTTCACCCAAAAAACAACTTGAGCAAATGATGACAGAAGTTTAAGTTTGGGTGAACTATCCCTTTAATGGCAGTCTGAGAACTTGCTTTGCTATAGGGATAATGTGTTTAATTAACCGTATCTTTATCTGACCAAAAAGGGTGGAAATTATCAAGATCTTTAAGACTTTAAGGTTTGTTTATACATAAATTAGCGTTAAAAAATGAACCCACCATGAGAAATATTCACTACAGTAAAGCATGTGACAGCTAGTCTCAGTCTCTGCTATTAATTCATCACAAACGTAACATATTTACCAAATTTTCTATAATGGTCCAAGTCTATTCTTGATTTTAACATGATATATACATTTTTTAAATGTACATATATTTTTTTTTATGTTTTTGAAAAAGTATCCTGTGCTCACCAAGGATGCATTTATCTGATCAGAAAATAAGGTTAAAACAGTAAAAATAAAATAAAATAAGTGTTTTCTATTTGAATATATTTTAAAATGTAATTTATTTCTGTGATCAAAGCTGAATGTTCAGCATCATTACTCCAGTCTTCAGTGTTACATGATCTTCAGAAATCATTCTAATATGCTGCTGCTCAAGAAACATTTCTGATTATTATCAATGCTGAAAACAGTCGTGCTGCTTCATGTTTTTTTTTCAGGATTCTTTGATGAATAGAATGTTGAAAAGAACAGCATTTATTTGAAATAGAAATCTTTTATAACATTATAAATGTCTTTACTGTCACTTTTGAGCAACTTAATGCAACAAAAGTATTAATTAGCTAAAGAAAAAAAAGTAACTGACCCCAAACTTTTGAACAGTAGTGCAGAATTATCCTACTGACCTTCACCATGGTGGAAACGGGATGGACTCGGTTGAGGTTCTTCATGAGACTCTCTGTCAGGTCGGCCACACTCAGCCCGATGGCCCAGTTCGTGTAGCCTTTCAGTCGGATCACCTCATAGGCGCTGCAGTGAACACAGTCATGCTAGTATTTCTGGCAGAATAGCTCAAAATTGAATAGACGAAACAGAATTCTAAACTGTTTATTTGTGAGATTATAACTAGACACCACACTGAATTAATCAAGCAATATGTGACCCTGGAGCACAAAACCAGTCTTAAGTGTCAATTTTTGGAAATTGAGATTTATACATAATCTGAAACTGAATAAATAAGCTTTCCATTGATGTATGGTTTGTTAGGATAGGGCAATATTTGGTTGAGATACAACTATTTGAAAATCTGGAATCTGAGCGTGCAAAAATATAAAAATATTGAGAAAATCATCTTTAAAGTTGTCCAAATGAAGTTCTTAGCAATGCATATTACTAATCAAAAATTAAGTTTTGATATATTTACAGTAGGAAATTTACAAAATATCTTCATGGAACATGATCTTTACTTAATATCCTAATGATTTTTGGCATAAAAGAAAAATCTATAATTTTGACTCATACAATGTATTGTTGGCTATTGCTACAAATATACCCCAGCGACTTAAGACTGCTTTTGTGCTCCTATAGTAAAGTAATGTGTCAATGTAGCATATTGTTTCAAATGTTTATTTGTTCCATACTCATTCACAAACTATTTAATAAATTGCAGGTGGTAAACTGCATAATTTTCATTTTGGGTTAACTGTCCTTTAATGAGGAATAGGAGCTAAAAGAGTAACCTGTTGACGTACCTGTCCACGACCTTTTTGTGTGTTTCTGTCCAGTTCTCTTTGTCCGTGTCTTTGCCGATATCTGGATTGAGTTTCTGCAGACTGACTCCTGCCACATTTGCACCACTCCAAATGGGAACTACAATACACACACACACACACACACACACACACACACACACAGAGACCATGAGTGGTTGAATGATAAAACAAATTCAAAATTTGATGCCAACATTTGTTTTTCTGTATATTTTGTAGTGCTGTCAAACGATTAATTGCGATTAAGCGCATCCGAAATAAAAGTTTTAGTTTACATAATATATGAGTGTGTACTGTGTTTGTTTATTATGTATATGTAAATACAAACACATGCATGTATATATTTAAGAAAAATGTTGTTTATATATTAAATATATTTATATATAATATAATAATATAAATGTGTATACATGTAAATATTTCCAAAATATATACTGTATGTGTGTGTATTTATATATACATAATATATTTATGTTTACTGTGTTTATTTATTATGTAAACAAACACTTTTATTTTGGATGCGATTAATCATGATTGATAGTTTGACAGCACTAATATTTTTATATTATGTTTATATTTAATAAATGCAATTTAATTTATATTTATAGAAATCTAAAATAAAAATAACATTCTCTAGTATTAATAAATTAATGATTCATTATTTACAATTATTATTTTAATAACATGTATTTATTTGAATAAATACGAGTTATGAAGAAATATGTAATTATTTTAATATGATGAATAATTTAATGTTTTATTAATTATTATTTACGTATAATTTATATTGTTATATTTACATAATTTAATGCTTAATTTTAATTCAATATTTAATATTAAGTTATTTTACACTATATAATTTATACAATTATTGTTTTTTTAATCATTTTTATTTATTTTAATAATATATTAATAATGATAACAATTATATGCATTTAATTATGTATTATATTAATATTTAAATACATGTTTATTGTATATTTATATGTATTTTAATAATACAATTATTTTAGTAATATTTGTAATTTATTTAATATATTTTATTACTTATTTATAATTTATATTTATATAATTCAATTATGCTTAAATGTAAAAATTGCTATATTAATTTGAATACAATATTTATTTTTCATACTGTATGTAGTGACCAAAGTGTGATTTCCATGTCGCTTCATCTAGACGCCGTTACAGTGAATTTAATAGTGCTCCAATAATGAGATGATATGATACAATGGTTTAGTTTACTCACATAAAAAAAGGTAATAAACAATTAGTACAGTGGCGTTATCCAAAACAAACTTATTCTAAACAGCATTTGAAACCTTACTTCTGCTGGCCTTTTCCACAGTTCCACGAGGGACACATTTAAACAATCTTTCATTTAAACTAACATTCTTTATCCAGCAGGTGTCACTATATTGACATTAAAAAACAAATTAAAAGGTACATACACTATACAATTTATATAATTATATTTACATTATTAATTATTTAAATAATGTATTAATTTTAATAATAAATATGAACAATGATTATTTTTTATAAAATATCAATTTTATTATGTCATATTAATTTAAATTATTTATATTTTAATTAAAAAAAATTAAAAAATATTTTTAATTTATTGTTTTTAATACATTTTATTATTAATGATTTATTCTGTAACGAGTTATATTACATGATATATTTTTGTCTGGCTCGTCTCACCGCTGGAGTCGCCATGTTCTCCCAGAATCCATCCGTTGAAGCTGCTGGGATGGATGCCCACCCTCTCAGCCATCAAGTACCGAAAGCGAGCCGAGTCCAGGTTGGTCCCGCTGCCGATGACGCGGTGTTTGGGCAGACCGCTCAGCTTCCAGGTCACGTAGGTCAAAACGTCCACTATGCAGGCAGAAAAACTGTGTTATAAGCAAATAAAGTGTGAAATGTATGCTGATGTGTGCTCATGGGTACCTGGGTTGGACACTACGATGAGGATGCAGCTGGGACTGTATCTGACGATCTGCGGGATGATGTGTTTGAAGATGCTGACGTTTCTCTGCACCAGATTCAGTCTGCTCTCGCCCTCCTGCTGACGCACGCCTGCCGTCACCACCACCACGCGAGAGTTAGCCGTCACAGAGTAATCTACAGGATAAAACCAGACGTTCAGAGGGCTTAAACCACTGAGAAAGAGCCTCTGAGGAGGAGAGTGCTACCTTTGCCTGAGACGATCTTGGGCGTCTTTAGGAAGAGGCTTCCGTGCTGTAAGTCCATCATCTCGCCCTTGAGTTTGTCCTCGACGACGTCCACCAGCGCCAGCTCATCCGCCAGCTCCTGCAGCACCAGAGACAGCAGCAAAGAAAAACATTCATCAGGCCTGCATCCCAAAGTACATACTCACACTACACACAAGTATGTACTTAGTTTTAAGATTGAGCCTGTTCCATTCGGAAGGGCTCATCCCTATGCCCTAATCCCTTCAAAGGGTTTCCCCTCCGGAGTGAGAGCTTCAAAGGGTTGAAGGGTGTAGGGGACCAAACAACTGTTTCTTGAAGTGCCCTTCATCACGTGCCCACACGGAGGTGCCGTCATCATGCAAAGAATCTGCGCAAAGGATCATGGGAGCCCGAAGTGTCCATCAGTTGTACCCTTCCTGTGAAATCCTTCATTCTGAAGTGGCCAGTTTTGAGCACTTCGGTTTGGAACGACCCTTCAATATGGCGGCTATGATTGTTTTCACTCCGAAGTGCCCTTCGGAGGGCGATATATTCCGTTTGGAACGCACCGAATATTTCAAAACAAAACTGCTTCACTTACTTTTTTTAGACAAATAATAATAAATATATATTTTTTAATTATATGACTAATACTAATAATACTAATAATAATGATGATAACACTAATGTGAATCATAATAATAATATCAAAAATAGAAATACTACTACTAATAAAACTATGAAAAACATAAATAATATTACTAATAAATAATAATATAATATAATACCACTAATACTAATAAAAAGTATGAAATAATAAATAAAAAGTATGAAAACATAAGTAATAATAAATTAAACACAAAAAAATAGAAAAACTACTACTACTAAAACAATACGAACAATATAAATAATAATATGAAAAATATAAATACAAGATGTAATAATAATAATAATAACAATATGAAACAGAAATTATCATAATACTAATGCCTCTAATAGTAATAATATCAATAACAACAGTATGAAAACGTTAATAATAATATTAAAACAAACAATATTATTAATAATAAATAACACTACTAGTAAAAACAACATGAATGATAATAATTAAAATATGAAAGTAATAATAATAAATGAGAAAATATGTAATACTAATACTTCAAATAATAATTAAAATATTAAAAAATCAATAGAAATAATACTAATACTTTTAATAATAACAGTATGAAATAACAGCAACAACAAATGGAAAAAATCTAAATAATAGAAATACTACTGCTACTAATACCAATAATGAAAATATAAATAATAATAATAAAAAATTAAAATACGAACAAAATATATAATTAATAGAAATACCACTACTATTACTACTACTAATAAAATCAAATCAAATGATTACAACTGAAAACATGTTTTTCATAGAAGAGATGTATCAAACTAAATCTGTGTGATCTTTATTTACATTTTTGCTTTAATTTTGGGAAAACAAGTAATTGTCACATCAGTGGCCAATGCAGCTTTTCTTCAGACTCATGTGAAGACTTCAGACTTTTGTGACCCTGGAGCACAAAAGCAGTCTTAAGTCTCTGGGGTATATTTGTAGCAATAGCCAACAATACATTGTATGGGTCAAAATGATAGATTTTTCTTTTATGC